TAAGTACCAACTAATGAGCCGATTTACAAATTAAAAATTGAAAACGTAATATTTGAATGTATGTGTGTGTGTATATATATTCTTTTTTTTTTTAGTACGTCCAATCTATTTTTAAAATAAAGTTAAATTTTAATTTTTGGTATTATATTATATTATATTTTGAGATTGTATTGTACGTAATTAAATAACAATAAAATATTGATGAATTTCAAATGCAATGATATAACATATGATCACGACTGACGATAGAGTATTTTAGAATACAAATAACCTAAAATGCTTATTTGATGACTAAGTTTTGTTATAATTTTTTAAGCATAAAATGGCATGTAAGTGAATATTTTGTGGTATAAATATACGTATGGTCCACTTTAAGTTTAAGTCGGGTTAACATAGATTTGCATTTTTTATAGTGAGCCAAAAAAATTGAAATATTGTATGCTCAAAATGGATAATGAGTAAATAAGAATGTGTCTGGCATAATTGGTTTAAAGCTACTGGTTTTGAACTCTCAAAGCTCCTGGGTTTTCTCTCTTGCTCTTTCAAAATCGTTTCCTACACAAACTCCGCCTAACACTTCCATAAAATGTCGAAATGTTCGCTTGTTATAAAAACAAGGTGTTGGGCAACATTGTTTTAAAGCTGCTGGTTTTGAACTCTGAAACTTTGCGGGGCGTTTACTAACAGGAAATTTTCAAGAATTTCCGGAAACAGAAAATTGAAAACAGTCTAGGTGTTTACTATACTCTTTTTTCATTTCCAAAATTGAGAACTATTCTTCATTTTCTTAAGAAATTTGGAACACAATAAAAACTTGTTTTCAAATATGAGAATACACGCGTGAATAGTAGTCTACCCATCGAATCCATCCGCAAACTTTTTTTCTTCTTATTTCTTCATTACTTTCTTCTTTCTTTTCTATGCTTTGCTGCTGCTACCCATTGTATCTGCTTTCCTTGTTCACCGACGTCGCTGCCCACCTCCCGATCCACATCCTCTCGCTACCACGCCGGAAAACCCACGCCCACCATCCAAGCTCTGCCCGACGCCATTGCAGTCTGCCGAAAACGAAAGAGATCACCGGAGCTTACTGTCGGCTTGCAAACATCCAGCTGCACCGTGCCACCTCGCAGGATTCCTCGACGAGAGGAGCGCGAAGGATCATGACAGCGGGAGTGATCTCATCCAACATCATTCGCCGGATCCGCTATTGTCGTTGACTAGTGAGTTGCCGACTCGAGGGCTCTCAACCGGGTGGACTTTGTTTACCGGCTGGAGGGCATTTTCAATTGGATTGTGAACTTATAATGCACAGATCTCTGGTTTTGTGTTGTTCAGTAGAAAATGTTGAAAGAACTCAGGAAAATCACAGCACTGTAGTTTGGAATTATTGCAATTGAAAAAGGAGATTAAAGAAAAGGTTGAGAAATACTCCGTAATTGATTTCAATATGTTATTTAATTAATTAGTTGTTTGGAATTATTATAGATATTTTTTTTAATAAGGAATTATTATAGATATATTCATTATTAGAAAGTTTATATCATATTCTAATAGTTTAGAGATTATTCAAGAATAAAATTGTTCTGGTTTATCTGTTCATTCTTAAAAAAATCAAAACAGAGAATTGAAAACAGTTTTCGAAAACAGAGAGATTTTTCTGTTAGTAAACGGGCTCTTGATTTTTCTCTCTTCCTCGTTTAGTTCGCGGAAAATATTTGATGGGAAATGGAATTGAAATTACATGAAAAAAATTACCGGGAAGATTAATTACATTGTTTGGTTGGTGCAAAATAAATTATTGCGAATATCGATTACATTGTTTGGTTGAGTTGGGAATAATTGTAAGAAATAATGAGTATAAAGACAACTATACCCCTACATAATAATAACAACAACAATAATAATAATGGTAATTAAGAAAAGTTAGTGAGGGCATAATTGTCCTACTTGTTTTTCATGGAAAACAAAATACCAAGGGGGGGCCATGGATAATGTTTTCCATGAACTAAACAAAGAAAAATCTAGTTTTCCTCAAATTCAAGGAAAACATTTTTCTTGAAAAACATTTCATTGAAAAACATTTTTCATGAACCAAACATGCCCTTGCTCTCTCAAAATCATTTCCTATAAAAACTTCGCCAACACGTCCATATAAGGTCGAAGTGCTCACATGTTGTTATAGTTTGATGAATTATATGTTTGAGTGCTCAAACACTATAGTCGTAACCCGTTTTTATCATGAGAAGATTGAGAAAGTAGTTATGAAAATATACTACATTGTAACAGAGTCAGTATTACTAAAATAAATATTATGAGAGACTGATGCTACAACGCTCCTAACACCATGAACAGATAGCAAATTGATTTTAAGTAAAGTGTGTGTTACACACGACTCGAATTCTCTTATGATTATTCTCGTTTATGGTCGGGTTTATTCTAAATATTATAAAATCCTTTTTCGTTATATATATATATATATATATATATATATATATATATATATATATATATATATATATATATATATATATGGTAAATCAACTTATTTACCACCAACGAGTTCAACACACTCTTATAAACTCAATAATTTAGAATCCTTGTATGTACATGAAGACTATGATATGACCGGTGGGTTGATTGTGTGAGTCGCGATTTACCTCATCAGTGACATTGGGACAGGATCCATGGACTTAATATTAGTCCGTCGAAGCTGGGTAATGGTAAATAAGTTACCGACATATATTTGAAAAGAAATATTTAAAGTGTTGTATTGCATACAATAATTAGAGTGTGTCCCCCTACTATCACATGTGTATTGACTTTTATACAATACAACGGTAACGGTTACAATGATAGTAACAGTCTCATAATAAGTGACATTGCTTCAAGTTAATTGAGACGTTATCCTCCATAAGTGCGACGACCTTTCATAACTCTTCTCTTTGACCCGGCAATGCACTTAATAAGTGTGTGGGGCAATAGTTTCACATGCTCTTTGCTCTTGACCGTTACTTTTTGACTGTCATCACTGCTTTGACGGGTTATACTAAGAGTACACCCGATCGGATCTAGTATCTTGTCTAATCATCCTATCACTGGGATCAACTAAGTCAAATAACAACAACAACAACAACAACAACAACAATAATAATAATAATAATAATAATAATAATAATAATAATAATAATAATAATAATAATAAAATTTCAATTTCTAACAACAAATTTTCAAAACTGAACCTAACTTTTATAGCATTCAAGATATTTTTTTTTTAGGGGACAAGATAATTATTTTAATACCTATTATTTGTGTACTTATAATAAAACTATAATCAAAATGTTACGGAGTATTGAAAGAAAATTGAACTTTACACTAAAAAAATCAGTCATTATTTTGGGATTTTCTTCATAAATTTAATCAAAAATTTCAAACGTGTTTGAGTGACAGAGTGTGCACAGACTAAATTTAATAAAAAATTTCAAAATAATACTTTTATTGCTCAAGAGTGTGCATAGACTAAACTCATTTATGTATAATAATGGCAAATCACAAATAAAATAAAAGAGGTGATTGAGAAGGTGTTGATAAAATTTAAACGCGTGATCATCTAGTACAAAAATTATGATTCACTCATTCGACCAATAATTCACACAAAACTTGGACATTTACGGGGTGTTTGGTTAGAAGGAGGGATTATGGAAGAAATGAATTGTAATTTTGTGAAAAAAAGAATATAGTAAGAATTTAAATTTTATTATTTAGTAGACAAATTGAAATAAAAGAAATACGAGGTAAATAAATATTAAAATATTCTTGTGTAATAATAATAAAGAAAAATTATCATTTTTTTTTTTTGTAGAGAATTTCAATTTCATGGAGTGTGGGTGGAATCTTAATTACCGGGGATATTAGAAATTACAATTTCATGGTTGATTCCTGCCATCAAATAATGAAATTATAAAATTTATAAAATTTGATGAGAATAAAATTACAATTTCATTATATCAAACGTTTTATGAAAAACAACACCAAAAATAGCAGCGACTTAAATATGCATATTTTCTTGGTCTCCCAGAAATCGCAGGGAATTTTGCCCTAACTTTTCTGCACAGTATCACTTCAATTAACGCGCTCGAAATCCGTGTGAAGCTATCTTCTCACATGTCAACCTAGCGTGACGGTAATCTCGCTCTTCCCATGTGGCTCCACCACCCCACCCCACCCCCATCCCCTCCACCACCCCACTCTTCTACTCGCATTTTAGCAGTGGGTTCATACTCTCTGAGGGGGCGTTTGGTTCGGGTTATCTAAGATAACCAAGGTTATATTTGGTTGGTTATATAAGATTCCTATGTTTGGTTGGAGTTATGCAACATTCCCATGGAATAAAATTTACCCTCCACATCATCTTTTTATCTCTTTTGAAGGGAATGTGATTCCCTTAGAATTCTTAGGTATTAAAAGATTCCCTTGGCATTTTACTAACTTTGCCCTTCACTTTCCATCACATTGCTTTGTTTTTTTACCGAAAAATTAAAAAAAAAATAAAAAAATCAAAATTAACCTTTCGGTTAAAGCAAGCAAGCTAAGTTCACTTTGCTTAACATGAAAAATCAACTTTGTGGAAGCCACATTTGAATTTGTAGAAATTAAAGAATCTGTATGTATGAAGCCACGAGTCAACTTTTCGGATGAAGGAATGAAAATTAATTAATTAATTAATTATATATATATATATATATATATATATATATATATATCAAATTTTGCATGGTTACATGCATTGGAATATTGAAATGCATTAAAATATATTGAGGGTATTAAAGTAAAATAATCATTATAACATAAATAACAATACTTCAACCAAACATGTTTATATTATATATCTCAGTTTTTACCAAACACAGGAATCTAACATTCCGAGTAATCTAACATTCCCAGCAATCCAACATTCCCTAAGGTAATCTGACATTCCGTGAACCAAACGGCCCCTGAGAGTGACCATGGCAAGAAAATGCAAGAAATGAATCTATTATTGCATATTTTTCTTTCTTTTTCTCTGTTTGAGTCCAAAATCGTTCGCCCATTTTGAAAATTCCCAATTTTTTCTTCATTTTAGTTGCAGAAAATCTAGGGGGGGAGGGGAATTCCATTAAAATCTGGGAATAGTCCGCGAATTTGTTGCCCGATAATGAAGGCGAAAGCGAATTCAGTATCAGCAGGAACGGCGGTGGCGGTGCTTAATCCTCCGCGCATCTCTGCCGATCACAAGAGGTAGCTTCTGCTTCTCTATCTCTTTGAACTGCCTCCGCGTGTCACTCCGCGCATTTTGTTCTCCGTTATGTTATTCGTCTCCATCGATTCGGATCCGATGTCTTGATTTTCATAGGGTTCTAACGTATCAGTAGACGTACTATAATTTGATTCACTAAAGTTCCTAAAATTAATGGTCGAACTGGTGATGAATAGTAGAATGTGGAATCCGCCGACACGAATTTTCTTGTGATTCTTGGTTTTACGATCATTTTTTTTGTTGTCTTCCTGGTTGTCATAATTCTAGTGAGATATTACTATATTAGGATTAGGATTTGTATGTTTGTTTGAAGTTCAATGTAAATGGTTGCTACTCAATTGCAATGGCTACTACTCAGAACAGTGAAGGTAAGGGTGAGTTGCTGACAAGTAATTATTAAGTACAGCAAAACTGAGAGTTGCTGCTTAACATTAATAGGTAGCAGCAAAACAAAAATAATGTTATTTTGTGAATTGGGTTTCCTTTAATGGTTTATGTATACAGGGATGCTTATGGGTTTGCAGTGAGGCCCCAGCATGTACAAAGATATCGTGAATATGCTAATATCTACAAGGTTTCAAACAATCTTTTCCTTTTCTTTTTTTATTTTTATGAACATTTTGGGTTTATTTTCTGAGAATGTATGATGAACAACTGGCAGAACTAAACAATGACAGGAGACATTTTTTTTCCCCATTTTTAAACAATGTTGTTAGGAAGAAGAGGAGGAGAGATCTGACAGGTGGACAGACTTTCTGGAACGGCAATCGGATTTTGCTCAGTTGCCCATAAATGGAACATCTTCAGGCAACACTTGTGAAGAGCTGTCTGATGAGCCAATCAAGAAGGAACCAGATTCTCATTCTCAGAATGGTATTGAAAATCAAATGGAGATAAAAGAGATACCAACATCAACTGAGAAAAAAACCCACCAGATCCAAGTATGGTCTGAAGTTAGATCATCACTTAGAGCCATTGAGGATATGATGAGCGTGCGTGTTAAAAGGGTAAATAAAGTCAAAAGTGAGCAAGACTCTGGAATGGTGGAGCATTCTTCTACCATAGAAGAGGCTAAACCCACGAAAGGAGCTCTTGAAGAGGACTCAGAGGATGAGTTCTATGATATGGATAGGTCAGAATCTTTGGACAGATCAGACTCAGATTCTCTACAAGATGTTCCTCTGACTGAGAGTATTACTCAGGCTGCTTTGTCTCTAGAGTCTTTACCTCCTTGGAAAGAAGAACTGGAGTGCCTTGTTCAAGGAGGAGTGCCAATGGCTCTCAGGGGAGAGGTTAGATAAATCGCCTAGTTTAGTTCTCATTACTGTTCTTTCATCATGCATACGATATTAAGATTCATGAATGGAATCTTTGAATTTGCAATTACAGCTTTGGCAAGCCTTTGTTGGTGCAAAGGCTCGTCGAGTGGAGAAATATTATCAAGATCTGCTTGCTCCAGAAACTAAATCTGTCAATAACATAGAGCTTAAAAGTAATGTATCATTGGATAATAAAAGTAGTCTGGAGTCAAGGGCAGACTCTGTATGTGCTGAGAAATGGAAAGGTCAGATTGAAAAGGTCAGAAAACAATCTACATATCTTAAGCACCTTCTGGTTTTCTTCTTACTGCTGCATTGATGCCACCGTGGCCCAATATGATTGCTTTTCACAAGCAGGATTTGCCCCGAACATTTCCTGGACATCCTGCTCTGGATGAGGATGGAAGAAATGCTTTGAGGCGTTTACTTACTGCATATGCTCGCCATAATCCTTCTGTCGGTTACTGTCAGGTATGCGTGCACAGAAATGCTTTTCTGCTAGCCTTCCCTATTTTGTTTGCTCAAGTAGCATTACAGTTTCATACTTCAGTACTGTGAATAGTATTGATCTGCATCATTTGCTTTAGATGTTGTATGAATTGTATTTCTCCCTTTTTATACACTGGAAATGATGCTTTGGAAGATAAGGTATTATGTTTAGATATAGTATAGTTGCAACCAAGTGAGTTGTAGTTTCTCACACTCTGATGTCTGTCTGTTTGGACATCTATAATAGCCTCTCTTCTTCTCCGGTAAGTTCAGAGGCCAATAATCTGATGAAACATTGAATCCTTAATTCAATCAAACTATATATTTCAGTACGCAAGAGTCTAAAATCTGCCCTTTAAAAATGCAGGCCATGAATTTCTTTGCTGCTCTTTTATTGCTCTTAATGCCAGAGGAAACTGCGTTTTGGTGAGTAGCAAGTTTGTTTGGTGCATTTTTCTATTGGACATTTTTGTTTAAATTTCTTGTAGAAAGCTGGTATTTTGCAATAGTGTGCTAGGGCATAAATACAATAACTTTCTCACTTAAACAAAATAACAGGAAATACAGAGCCAGAATATTATTTTCTCAATTAATCTATCCCATGTTTTATCTTTTCAAAATTTCTACAACATAAAAAAATGTGTGTAGATCAGTAGATGGAAGGAGAATGTACAATACACCTACTTAATCAATCAAGTAGAGTGACAAGAAGCCTCTGTCTTGCAATTCTGCGAAGGATGGATCAAGTTTCTGTTCTCTGCAATATATATATATATATATATATATATATATATATATATATATATATATATATATATATATAATCTGCATCTCATACTTCTGGAGTTTAGTTGTTGTGAATTGTGATAGAGTCAATGGAAAAGAATTAACTTTCAGGACTTTGGTGGGCATTTTGGATGACTATTTTGAGGGCTATTACTCGGAAGAGATGATAGAGTCTCAGGTATGTGGTGAAGTTGCATACATGCTAGCTTATTAATCTTGACTGAACCCTTTCGCATATCATTCAATGATCAAGTGTGTAATTATAAAAATATAAACAGACAACAATCCATGATTTTTCACACCGCTTTTTACTGTCAGGTTGATCAACTTGTTCTTGAGGAATTGGTGCGGGAAAAGTTCCCAAAATTAGGTGTGTTTTTTGTTGTCCTCGTTTCTATAATCCTCTTCATGTATCTATCTAAATTCTGATTTAGTAATGTATCATTGTTTATTTCATCTATGCTTTTATTGCAGTTAATCATCTGGATTACCTGGGAGTACAGGTAGCATGGGTCGCAGGACCATGGTTCCTCTCCATATTCATGAATATGCTTCCTTGGGAAAGTGGTCTGCTTCTTTTTCTTGTTATATTTGATATAATTTTAATTCATTTATATATACCTACAGATGTTGGTTGAGGAACCTCTAAAATAGTCTGCATATTTATATGATTTTTGCATGTGATATCATTTCTCTGATTCTGTTCATTAGCAGTTTGTTTATCTTACTAACAATGCCATCTTTTTTTTTTAATTTTTTATTGGATTTAGTTCTTAGAGTCTGGGATGTGCTTCTGTTTGAAGGAAATCGTGTAATGTTATTTCGGACAGCGCTGGCTTTGATTGATCTATATGGTAATATTTCTGTTAGTAAGCATTTATTGATTTGAAAATATAATGTTAACTATTTGTCCACTTTATTCAATTCTCCATGTTAATTATTTGTCCACTATTATTTTTTTGAGTCTTATTCAGGACCTGCATTGGTGACAACAAAGGATGCAGGAGATGCAGTCACTCTGCTGCAATCACTTGCTGGGTCTACATTTGATAGTAGTCAACTTGTTTTGACAGCGTGCATGGGCTACCAAAATGTTACTGAATCCAGATTACAAGAATTGAGAAACAAGCATCGGCCATCTGTTAAGGCTGCACTCGAAGAGAGATCTAACGGTTTAAAAGTTTGGAGGGATTCCCAAGGTCTAGCATCTAAACTATACGGTTTTAATCAAGATCCTGCATCTGTGGCTGGAACCAATAAAACAGATCAAGCATTTAATAGAGACTCCAATGGTAACATGGGTCCTTCATCAGCTAATGTAGATGGGCTATACGAGAGCGTGAACAAGAACATGGAAACTGATTCTGGTACAGATCTTCAAGAACAGGTTATTTCTAACTTCTATGTTCTTTCTACTTAACATGGTCCTCACTAACTTCTTTACAAGGAATTCCAGTTTTGGTTCCTGTCATAAACTGCTTCATATAGCCACTTCATAAGAACCTTATTGCACATCTTTCTTTCAATTGTAACGCATGATGTGAAAAAACACATATTCATGCAGAATTTTGTCTATCAGAAACTTAGAATTGCAGTGAATGGATGGATAGTACTATAATCTTTAGTTAAATTTCTTTAGGAAGTTTTATGCCAAGCAGGCAAGAATGTATAGGATGCAATGCAGTTATTATTATTATTATTTTCAGACATGCACACATGATAAATTTTGAGGGAATAAGCTGTAACTCTGGCTCCTCCCTCTTCTTCTTCTTCTTCTTCTTCTTCTTTTTTATCTTTAAAATAATTATTTATAAACGTTTGAGCTGTGTGCAGGTGGTATGGCTAAAGGTTGAGATGTGCAAATTGCTTGAGGAAAAAAGATCTGCTGAGCTCAGGTAAAGTAATCATAGGGCAGTCTATCTCTTCTGATTTGTGATTCTTGTCGAAGAGGTATATGCGGCTGACTATTTGTTTACACCTTTCCTGTCCCTAATTCCTATGAGTCAGAGTTTATGACTGTGATATTTTATTGGTGATCTTGGAGAAATTCAAAGTAACACTAAAAAGGCTTCGAAAATTCCTTCATAAAGATAATTTCCTCTACCCACTACTCTGTTGCTGCTGCTATAAACCCTCTTCTTCTGCTTCATTTATGCCTTAGACTGCGGTGATAGGAGATACAAAACCAAAAAGATGGGTACTCTGGTGGTGCATGGTAAATCTAATTTTCTACTTTCTTGAGAAAGAAGTGAAACCATTGGATGGCAAGCTCATTCTTTTGCTGCATGCCTACAGTCAGTCCAATATTATTGACACTGAATCAATTTTTGTTTCTAATTTTGTGCATGCCTACAGTCAGTAATTAAAGAAAAATTTCACTATATTGGAAACAACATAACTCCCCACCCCTCTGGGGTTGATGTATAAAAATTAGTGGACACAGGTTGTTCCATTTAAACTTTTTCCTATAAAATTTAAATGTTGCTAATTTCCCACTGCAAATTGTACTTGAGTACTTCCAGCTTCCAGCTTCAAGTGATGCATCTCCCTCCCAGAAAACTTTAAGGATGGCATCTTTTTCTCTGTTTGGTTTGCCTAGTGTGACACATGCAAATTTACTGAGCATGGATGCTTAATTTGTGTTTATATATGAGTGCAGAGCTGAGGAATTAGAGACAGCACTAATGGAGATGGTCAAGCAGGATAACCGGCGACAATTGAGTGCAAAGGTACGTTGGATGCTCCTTTATGCATCATCATCTCTTGTTAATTAAGCAGGGTTGATTACTTATTCTTGCAAATTATGTGTTTTCTGGTGTTCTGGTGTTAGTGCCTCAGTTTATGGCCTTGCATCCCTCAATCCGAGCTTTTAAAAAATGTTAGTGCATGGCCTTGGATGAAGCAATCTATTAACAGTTAGATAATTAAAAGTAGACCACTTGCCACTGCAATTTTGACCTGAGCAGACCCTAAATGCTTTATGGAGTATCTAATTGAAGGTTTTTTACTGAGATAGTGAGATTATAGTAGGTACTCCGTACTCTGGCCAAGAGGGATTGGGAATGGGTTGGTGACTTTGAAAACAGAAACCAGAAAAGATTTTATGGACCATTCAGGGTGTTGATGAACTAATGCCCGCTTGAAGTTTCAGACTTTCAGTAGTCTTTTTTTTGGATATATCCGAGGGGAATGGGGATTTAACTTGTGATCTTCTACCCAGAGACAAAGTCTTATGTCACTAGCCAAAATCAATCAATCAATAGCCAAATAAAATAGTGCTCGAGTATTGCAGTTTGGTATTTGTGCTTGGAAAATTGAATCTAAGGATAGAGAAATCTGCAACATTACTCCTAGAACTGCTCATAAACTTCTATGTCATACTTGGATTGAAGACAGCTTGTAAACTTTTTGGTGAACGGCCATGTTTGGTTTGACTTATTGATTGTCTACAATTACTGTTCATACTTTTAAATTTTAATATTATAATTATAATTATTTATTTAAAGTAAATTTACATGAAATTTTCTTCTGTGGTTAGGTTGAGCAATTAGAGCAAGACATTGCAGAGCTCAGGCAGGCTCTTGCTGATAAACAAGAACAAGAGAATGCCATGCTTCAGGTGACAATTTAACTGATGATTATTCCTTGTGTGTACTTGCGTTTTTGGCATCTTCATGATTTTCTTTTTATAGGTTTTGATGCGAGTAGAGCAAGAACAAAGGGTAACTGAAGATGCTCGCAGATTTGCTGAACAAGATGCAGCTGCTCAAAGATATGCTACACAAGTGCTTCAGGTTTTATTTCCTTTTTCAAATTGACAATTACTAGAGTTTCTTTCTGCTGATAATTTTAGTTCCTCTTTTAACTGCATCTTGTTGTGACGCAACCTGAGCATTACCGAGTACAGAAAAATATGAGTGTATTACTACGTTGTATTTTTCAGGAAAAGTATGAAGCTGCTATGGCTTCCCTCTCAGAGATGGAAAGAAGGGTGGTTATGGCTGAATCAATGTTGGAAGCAACCTTGCAGTACCAATCTGGTCAAAACAAAACACAACCATCCCCACGGTAAGCATTTGCCACCCATTATTGAGGCATAACAAAACGAGAAAAGAGTACATAATATCTAGTTTCTAAAAAGTTATAATCTGCTATCAAAAGGGGTATAAAATTAGTGCAAAATTTCTTCATCTGCTTCCAAGAATATACTGTGTTAGACCAATATGATTTGGAGGAATGCTAATGTTGTTTGTACATAATATCTAGTTTCTAACTCAGAAGGCGTGTGTTTGCACTTGACAGATCTGCACAGCAAGATTCTTCCCACGGGCAATCTAATCAAGATTCCCCACAAGAGATACCAACAAGAAAAATCAGCCTGCTATCTAGATGGCGGGACAGGAATAAGGTCTGTTAATTCATTCTCTTAATTAAGAAAGCGCTATATATATCTATCATCCATGCCCTTCCTCGTTGGTTTTAAATAAATCAAACTCAACAGGGGAAGCCGAGCTCAGAGGAGGCTGGTGAAGATAAGCCCGTGAATGAGGTTCAAAGTCCAAGTAAAGAACAGCAGGAGACGAATGGCCATCCTGTGGAAGAGAAAGCGTAAGAGTAAGAGTTGGTCCTTCGTCAAATGAGATATCCTCGAAACTCAAAATTGATTCTCAGCAGTCTTCCCCTCGTTCCCCGCTTGCTATAAATCAAAAATCAATTTGTTTGTTCGTTCTATAGTGGTGAGTAATAGTTGGAGAGAGGATACACATATATAATATATAATATATGGCATAGTATAAAATGGACAAATGAATAGGTACTGTTTGGTTACGCAATTGTATAAGCATTGGTTTAATTGTAATTCTTTTTCCCAGAATGTATAATTCTTGTTGGATAGACGTGTAGAATGATGAAGTAATAATATTTGGTGTTTACAAACTTCCTACAATTGTCAATATCCATCCAAATCCTAAATTGATTTGCACTAATCCAAGTCTATGAGGGGTCGTTTGGTTTGCAGTATATGTACCACAAAAATGAGAAAACAAAGAAAAATGACAATTGAAATGAGAATAATCTATACTTTGATTTAAAGGTTGATTTCGATGCGTAAAAATAATTTATTCTTTGATTTAAGGAAAAAAACATATAGTCACTACACTCTAAGTGAAGCTCTCACATTATGACTCTAAGCAATAATGAACCATCAAGAGGTAAACCATTCTAGGTTGTCTATAACTGATCGAGTCGAAAGTTATAGTCGATGAGTTAGAAGTTAATCAAAGTGTAGTTTAATGGGTGGCTTAAAGCATGGAGGCTTGAATTGGCAACTCTTGTAGGCTACACATTTCACAACAAAATAGAGAATGGAAAATTGAAGTAAACATGGCCTAGCTTCATCATCACTATAATTACATAATTGATAGCAAAGGTATGAATGAAACAACTTTTTTCTTTCTTTCTTTTCTTTTCAGTTTTCTTCTTAAGAGAAGAAAAAGAATTTAAAAGTTCAAAAATTTAAGCACACCATAATCATAATCTATGCACAGAAAATTATAGAGAAGTCATCCTCAAGACCTCAGGACAACTAGAGTTCCACCTACTATACGCTCATACATAATCCTCAAGCACCACCGCTCAAACTAAGTTTGTTTTGTGTACCTCAAATGTTGCTATCATCGCTTCTCCCTCCTCTCTATCTCGGGGTGGAAGAGCTGAACCAAGGCTTTTGGACCGGGTGGGTATCGGGGCCATACTTCTGGGAAGCAAGATAATTTAGCGCTGTAACTACATCGGCTATAAGAGGTCGCATGTTGGGTTGCTCGTGGACACACATTGCAGCAACAGCGAGCGCTTGATACATGCCCCTCATAGGGTACTGACCTTGAAGCATAGGGTCCGCCATGTGGGAGAATTTCCTTCGGTCTTTGAACAATGGCCGAGCCTGAGAAATTAACCCATTCACTCATTTAACAAACTTACATGAAGGTAATTGATTGACTAAAAATTACTCCGTGAAAAAATGCATGGCATGGAGAGATTCAATGTAAACGCTATTGAGCATATAGCCATTAACGTGCAATCCAACTATCAGCTTAGGCTTTTAGTTGAAATGGAGCACATGCTTCAATTTGATATCAGAGCCAGACAAGCTTTTAGAAAGGTCAAAATGGATACGGATGGTAAAAAATAGTTTCTTACCCATGCAACCAGATTCTGTTCTTCCGGGACTCTTAAAGGGTCAATTGCCTTTCTGCCAGTAATAATCTCTAGAAGAACGACCCCGAAACTGTAAACATCAGACTTCAGTGTAAGCTGCCCAGTCATTGCATATTCTGGAGCGCAATAACCGTAAGTTCCCATTACTCGGGTCGAAACATGGGTGTTATCGCCAATTGGGCCCAATTTGGCCAGCCCAAAATCAGATAACTTGGGGTTGTAATCTTCATCAAGTAAAATATTCGAACATTTCAAATCTCGATATATTACAGGAGGATTCGCTTTATCGTGCAGATACTCCAAGCCCTTTGCAGCACCAGCAGCTATTCTCATTCTTGTATTCCATTCGAGTATCTTTTTGTCAGGCGAAGGTTCTGGATGAAGGATTCATTTAGTTATAATGAGGCTAGGGGGATCAAAGAATTCGAGAACTGAGACTAATTATCTCGTTCATGAATTTGAAGATATACTCAGTATTAGGGTATAGATACTGCATTGTAACAGAGTCAGTAGTACTAAAAAAAAGGGTATAGATAATATCAGCATATGAAATGTTTGACGTTTAATAGTACATAACTACATACCATGTAGATGGTCCTCCAATGACCCCAATGGCATGTATTCATAAACCAAAAGTCTTTGGTCTCCATCAGCACAATATCCGATCAAGTTGACTAAATTTGGGTGGTGAAGCAGGCTTAGCATCAATACCTCGACAAGAAATTCCCTGTTTCCTTGTAATCCATCTCGATCCAGTTGCTTGATAGCCACAATCTATCCAAAAAGGGATAGATCCCACAAATAATGTCGTCAGAGTAATAGCCAACATTATGTTTACAGTACTAAGATACAAAAGAAGTCAGGGCTTCTAGCACTTAACGGTCACCAAGAAGATCTAGTCTAGCAATAACTCATGAAATATCAGCAGCCACAAAGACATAATAATGAACCCAACGGGGTAGCTCAAGTGGCAAATGAGCTCTCTTTGTGGGGAGAATTCTGGGATAACCCGGATTCGATTCCCACAAGTCTACGATTCCCCTTGGACCAGCTCCCGTGCCTCCCGGAGGGGATTAGTCGGGTGGACCTGGACCGTTAAACGGACAAAGAAAGACCCCAGACCACCTCGTGGTTTACACCAAAAAAAAAAAAACAAAGACATAATAATGACTATTACAAATTTTGGAGGGCTATATTCATAACTAGTGCATTCATCATATTGCCCTCCTTTAAAGAAAATCATCATTCATACTTCCCAAACATCACCAGAAGAACATATAAAGAAAGGAAGGAAAGATAGGGAGGGGGAGGATTTCAATTGAAAATTTGAATAATGATGTGCTCCATATCTGTTTTCAATTTCAAATGGTTGAGAAGTTATGGACTCAACAAACCTGACTCGTACTCTGTAATTGCCCTTTGTATACTCTGCCGAAGCCCCCTTCACCTAACAGACAGTCGACCCTAAAATTCTTGGTTGCAGCAGCTAATTCACGAAATGTGAATGTATGGGCTGCAATATGGCCAGGATCTCCATTTTTGGAAGCTTCCTTCTTTTCATCCAGAGATAGACTTACCTTTTGTTTATCTGGAATTCAAAGGCAAAACAAGTGTAAAAGCAGCAAACGGTATGCAAAGAAAAACAAAACAAAAACAAAAACCGAATCACAGAAGTGATACAGGTAAATACTAACACCAACTTACCAGAGCAGACAAAAATGACTAATGAGATATACACATGTAAGGTTGACGTAATAAAAGAACCAAAATTAATAAAGAAAAAGAGCAAGGCATTTCAACACTAAGTACATTGATATTCATCCATCTAGGATATGTCGCCATTGTTCAACAGTAATGCCGTGTAAACCAGGAGAATCACCTAATACTGTATACCGCAAAAAAGAAAAGCCATCTTTATTTCTTAACGTAAACAATCTACAATGACAATTGTCTCCAGGTCATTCAGCATCAAAGCCATCATTAACAATGGTTAAACATTTAGATCTTCCAATCATGGAGAAAATTCAAAAACCTTGTTCCGGCACTTAAGTATATGTTGGCAGTTACTATTAGCTGTTATGGAACAATCACAAATCCCCTAAATTTAAAAATTATCTGGAACCAGCTAATCCCAACTAACCTAAGCTTATTAACTAGTAGAGGGCAAGCATTTTAATTGATCCCAAAAAAAAAAAAAAAAAATCTATGCTAAGCTTCATATGAAAGTCAGTTTAAAATTCCACTCCTGTCACAGTATAATCCATATTGAAATTGCCTGCCAGCTGTAATAGGGTTACCCGGGCAAATGAAATAGTTAAAAATTCAAACTTTCTGGAGAATTATGAAATTAAGAGAAACTCATTCAGATTTCAGAATTAAAATTAAAATCAAATAATGCTATGATAGCAGCAGAATCAAACCAAAAACAATTCCCAACAAAATCATTGTTCAAACATTGCAACAATCCAGAACTGAAGCAGATCACCCAAAAAATTACGAATGCCAAAGAAACTGATTCACGCACAGAAATGAAGACAAAACTTTTCCCAGAGATTAAGAACGCGAAATTGCATAGAATTGTCACAGCAAACAAACGACCCAGAAACGATTTGAGATAAAGAATTCAACTTTATTGCTGAAAATGCACTCATAAATGATCAAAAGGAGTATTTCTCTTATTGTATATAAACTGATAAACAAAACCTAGTGTTGATGGGATCTGATCATCAGACTTCTTGTTTTGCTGCTGCCCCGCCTTCTTCTTTGATTTCCTGAAACAGCCCATGACTACCCTCCCTCAGTCTCTCTCTCTCTCTCTCTCTGCGTGGTGCCTGGAATTCTGTTTGGTCTCCTTCCCTTCCGTTGAGGAAGAGAAAAGAAGAAGAAAAAAAAAAAAACTATAAAAATTCGCTAAAGTTCTCTTCTGGGGTATATACCTTTTTCTCTTTCACTTCACATTTAACGGTGGATTGTTATGATCCAGGTCATAAAAACCATTGATTAGATCCGTGCCCAGACACATTTTACAACTGCGACATTAATTTCATACTAAATACGGAGTATTACAGTAAAACGGAAAATTCCCACGGTCGCTATTCGAATATATGTAATAAGATAAAATCTTGGTACTCTAATCGATAAAAAATTACAATAAAATAAATTAATTTAGGATATGTTTGGTTGACAGGTTCAACTTTAAGCAATGAGTATTAAAGTAATCGGTATTGTTTGGTTGATATGTTTTTTAAATATTATTAAGTTTTAAATACCGCTTAATTAAAAATTCATACCCAAATAAAATGAGGATATCACCGTCTTTCATTCTCTTATTCCTTCTCATACCATTTGATTAGTACTTTTAGATTTTTTTTTGTTCATATTGATATTTTGGATGTCTTTATATCATAATCAATTGTCTTGATTTTGTGTTCTTGCATTTTAAAATTTTTTATTCTCATTATAGGATCATATATAACCAAACGGGCATTATTGATAATCATTCTCATTCCACCCTTATATCAAACATGCAAAATACTTTCACTAAAATCCATTACCATTACCATTACTAAGTATTTCGATTCCAATTTCCATGTGCGAACCAATCACACCCTTAGATTACTCATAAATGATAAACTCAAATCAATAAGATCAATATATATTATAATTTATAGAATGATGACAAAATATATTTTTTATGTACCTATAGTAAATATTTGTAATTT